AAAAATCTAAATAGGTAGACACTATTTGCAGTATAGGAAAAAATCATGGCAAATGCAATGAAAGTGAAATATGCTATCCCAAACACTCTAATAAATAATATATATGAAATATATAGCTAAAAATAAAAACAGCATTTAAAAAGTAATGCATATCAACTTAAGTGGATTCCATTTATTTGAATTCCATTATTTGTATAGAATTGCATAGAAGCAGCAAAAGGAAAATCTCTTGAAATGAATTATGCTTTGTTCATACCTTTATTAAATACAATTTTTTGTAAAACAATTTGCTTTCCTCGTAAAGCAAATACAGAATGGTGAGGGTTTTTTTTGGCGGGGGGGGGGTTGTTTGTTTATTTTTAAATTAAATGTATAACACCTACACTGGTATATTTTTCTCAGATAATTGATATAGCTGGAGTTCAGTTTTGTAAAATTGTTCATAAAGGGTGTAGACTTACAGGAATGATTCTGGTAACTTTTTCATATTGTTCTGAAAAAGCATTTTGTAAAGCAGCTGTTTAATACACACATATGAAAAGTTTCATTTTTAATGATATTATGCTTCAGGTACTTAATCTTACTAACTCCTGAAGCCAACAACTCTGAAAAAATTGAGGGAGCAGTGTTCTTTACTATCCAACAGTGAATCATGATTCATCCTACTGTGGGTAGTGTCATACATTGTGCACTTTCTCTAACAATGACTGAAAATACTTTCCTCCATTATACAAACTCTAAAAGATTGACTGGGCCATACTTGATTTAGCTACTTGATTTAGCTGATTGACTAAACAAATAGTACACACTTTCTAGTACTTCTCTAGTGCATATGTATTTCTTGAAAGAACACATTTCAACTGTAATATAAGTTTTTGTCTCAGGAGTGATACCTGAAGAACACTTTCTAAATGACTGTGTTCTGTTTGACTCATAGATATAATAATAAAGTCTGACCATGTCAAACAAACAAACAAAAAAGCAGCCTTGGAATTTTTCTGAGTTTGTTAAATAGAAGATTCATCCCTTTGAAAAAAAATATAGATTTTAAAGTTAGTGTTTGCTACATATCAAACTTGATGGTTAGAAATCTGTGCCAAGAAGCACACAAAATTAAGTAATGCGCATGTGATGCAAATACCCTTTGACTCATGCCTCTCTATGGTCCTTTTAGGAGTCTCCCTCAGTATTTGTCCACTTCAGTATTTGCAAGATCAAGACAATTCTGTTGTGACCAGGGACTGAGATTAGTTTAGGTCTTAAAAATTCATACCCTATACCACTTCTCTTGAAAAGGGGTTAATTTTTTTTCTCCTTGAATAAGCTACATGAAACAATCAAGTGTCAACACTATTTCTTGATAGAAGACTTATTAAAACAGAAAGACAATGTATTTCAACCAAAAAAGTTTACTCAACACAACTAAATTACCTGTTTCATAAGATAAAGTAGGTAAGCTATTCTTACCTTCTCTGTAGAAATGAAAACAAGTTACGTGATTGGAGTGTGGTTTTCTTTCAACTTCTTGGTTATCCTAGACTTTAAAAAAAAAAAGATGAGAAGAAAAAGAAAATGGTCCCACATACAATAAACACAAAACAAACAACTCCTGTTACTTTCCTGCTTTGTCCAAAGGACTCTTTCATCAAATTCATAGTGGCTGGGTAAATGGAATGCCCTTGTATCCTTTTTGATTTATGGGATTACCTTCTATATGCAGGCCTTGCAGAGGTATGTTGGTGGAACTAAGCTATATTTTGTTATGTATTTGTCAAGTGGTGTGTAGTGGAGCTCTAGGGATGTAGAGTCTTTCTGAGACATGTGGCAGCTTTTTGATAATTGTGTTAACTCTTGCCTGTTGACTAAGTCAAGCCTGAGGAATGGGTGGATTAGCAAGTCCTGTTTGGGTGTGAGGTATTGTTGCTGGAGCTTTACCCTTCCAAAAGGTCAGTTATGCTTTAACTATCCATTCATTTTTTCCTATTGTCAATGGTTACTTTGAGCACATCTGTGGAATTTTGTTGAAAATTGTCTATGCACAAAAGATTCCCCCAAAACATTATAGCCACTGAACTGTTCCAATAAATCTTATAAGAATGTTATGAATCCTTTAAAAAGACCAAGTGATTGAATGATTGTTAAACCTGCATGAGAGCCATAAAAGTAAAGAGAAATAAAGAAGGAAGCTATAGCATGGAAATTCAGTACTTGTTAGTGAACAGAATTTTAAAGTAGAACAGTTGTTTTTTTTTATGTATGAAAAAAACTTTTCTATATGTCATGACTCTATTGCATTTAAAAGTTATCTGCCTGCTGGCTCCAAGTAGCTATTGCCACTAGAGGTATGTAAGATTTCTAACTGCTTACAGCCTTTGAATACTACAGGTTAATCAGTCAATGGATCATTTGGTGAGGGAATGACTGTAAGGCATTTATCCCTCCTGACTATATCATGCTACATTGCTTTTGAAAGTACCAGGCTAAACAGAGACATTTTTGTTGTGGCATCAGATGTGTGCCATTCCCAGGGCACGCAGGATTGGACCCTTTAAGTCCCTGGATTTCCTGCCCTGGGGCGGGTGGAAAGTGCAGGCAGATCCAGGGTGCCTGTGCTTTTCCACCCTGAAGCAAACAGACATCCACCACAACAAAGTGGTACAAATTTATACCACTTATTGTTATGGCCATGATGTTGAGCATTTGTGGTGTGACTAGGAGCATAGTAGTCCATTTGCTTGGCCTTTGTGCTGCCATATTTTGTTATTTATGGTGGCACAAAGGTGACGTCTATTTCCAATGGCAACAAGTTTCACTGATAGCTGTAATGAAAAGTAAAGTGGCGGGGGGGGGTGGGTAATAGAATTTTCCTTATCTTTTAATATTCTTACTTTGAGCTTCTTGTGCCAGTTCAGAATTTGAAGACAAATCCTTTCTTTTACAAAGTTTCACCCAAGCAATATCCCAAAAATCAGTGAATGGGATATCTATGTATATAGCTTTGTGTTATTTAAAAGATAACATCCTGTGACTACACAGTGGAGACCAAGTTCTGCTTATCAAAATATTATATTAATCAAGAATGTTTGATTCATATTGAAGAGGCAATAGTATAACATAACATGGTACAGAACAGAGGATTCAGAATCTCTATTCCAATTTCTCTAACACAATAGCTCTATAAGAAGAAATTTGGTATTTATAGAAACATTTGAATGCATTTAAAAGGGCTTATCTTTTTTGTCTAAAAAAGAGTCTAGCAATAGAATGGAGGAGACGTTGTTGATGTTTCTTGCTCTCAGAATTGAACTTAAAATGGTATGGTATCTATACAGCTCATGGACTATTTGCGCCTGTTCTTCTTGAGCCGCCTATCTGACAGCTTTCAGATGTTTATAATTACTTCTCTACTTTTTTTGTACTGAATCTTCTATTGGAATTCTTACACAAAAAACAATGGATTTTTCTGGGTAACTTATGGCTAGTACCTGGCTTTTACCTTTTAAAAGCTACCTAATGTTTTTCTTATAATCATTATATGTGTTATATCAAATTTATCTAACTAGTATCATAGTATTGCATGGGAGTTAGAAGTGAGGCAGTCTAAAAAAAAGTATTTCTGGAATTATACAGCAACTCTTTTCCCCATTCTTTGTTTTTCCTGAACATTTTTACGTAGGATAAAGAAAAAATGAAAAACTTGCCTTTGTCTTTTCATATTCTAAATGATTTTAGTTGTCAGTTCTGTTTTATTTTATTCTAGCTTGTTTTTTTACTGCTCTGAATTAGGCAGTTTTGCATGATCCTGCAACTTCCTGGATTCAGGAATTACTGCTTTATCAATTTTTTTCTCGTTTTTGTACTTGCATCATTTGTTCACCAGACACGAGATGCCCAAGTGTGAAGCAGCTGGCATATTTCACATGATAACCAATTATAATACTCACAGTTAAAAAGTCACACTTTAGACTGTGTCATCTAAAATACCACTTTTGTTTGCTTAAATATAAAGGAAAACTTACAGTAGCTCATATTAAACAGGGTGGTGATTTTGGGCAAATGATAGTTTTCTAATGTTGGTCTCTTGGTGTTATGTCCATGATTGAGCCTTTTTGCCCTCGGTTTTCAATCACAGGCAAAAGAGAGGACTGATCTTAAGTCTGTCACCACTTGGTTTCTGAAGTAATAGTTGAAACTGCACACGATGCTGAAATTAACATGTATTGTGGGTCTGGCTTCTTTTATTGCAGTTTCTCTGCCTCCTTTTCCTTATATGTTGACCCGTGAGCTTTACCCGTATTTCAAAGGCTTCATATGAAAAACGCCGTTTCAAAGGAAGAAATCTGACCAAACTTGAAGATTTGTAAGTGAGAAGCCTGGGAGCAGACCAGCATTATGAAATAAGAGGAGCTCAATAATGTCTTCACAGGTTTCTGCCACAGTCTTTGAGAGAAATATTTTCTGGTTCTCAAATGACAGACCTAGGAAGCTCCAATGATGACCTTGTACCTAAGTAACTTCTACCAAAGACTATTCCAAAACAATTTGTAAAAAATGTTGCTATACAGTAGAGAATGACTGTATTTGCACCACATACAATATATTATTAAGACAATAAATATATACATGTTGTTGCTATATAAATGTAGAATAAGAAACATTTTCCCCCAAAGAACTTACATCCTAAGACTAATTAAGTTGTAAGTCTGGTTTTGAAATAAATTATGTTTTTTTACCAATCTCTTTAGTCTTAGAATTTTAAATACCACACACAGGGCTGTTTACTATTATGTATTAAGCTGTAATGACCCACCTTTTAGTAGATATTTTCTAAAAATGTTGCTGTCAAAAATCCACCTTGAGAATTGATTTTTCTTGAATTGTTTTATCTGAAAAATCTTTGGTAAAGGCATTCATTTTTTTAAATTGTTATCTAAATATCAGAACAACTTTGGTCTCAGATTTTGTTGCAATAGTTCTCTTCCTATATTTCTTACAGTTATGTCGTGAGGTAATTGTCATTTGAGGGTCCATTTGGAGTTCATTCAACCAGCAGTACTGTACAGCAGCAAGAACTAGTGTTGGGTTAGTGTTGACTCTTGAATGCTGTATACTGTTCTTTATAGATCTCTAATAAATATTACTGCCTCATTTCAGTTCAGAAGGGTTTTTAATTAATTCTGGCTGTGTTGAAGATACTATTTCTGTTCTGAGTGCTTAACTTTCCTCACCTGCTTGTTTGCTAGTATCAAATACCCATTATCATTGCTCCTGATCTCAAATGTGGTCTTGTGGTGGAACTTTTTTGTATTTTATTGATTATGTGAACAGGTCAGAAATCACTTGCCTATCAAGGAAGCTTTTTTTTATAAACAAGACCTGAGAGGAGGCACTAACGTGCTGTCATGTTGTCCAAATGTGAAAACCTTGTTAAGCTAATGGACCATATTCCAACTGCTCATGCTTACTAATCTAATAAAAGACTCAACAGCTGTATAATACAAAGATGTTGACTTGACTGAAAAATATAATTAAGTTTATGATGATCTCCATTGTTTTGTTTTTAGCATAATTAGGCTAATCAATTCAGTTTGCCCCGAAGATTTAAATCTTTCACAGTTATCCAATTAATGTGCCAATTACACTTAACCTGCTTAACTCTCTATTTTAGGAGTCAAACATAGCTTATTAAATACTTTAATTACTACTTCTTACCCATGACAATAACTGAGCAGTCCTTTGATACTATCAGTGTCTTTTCTTTGTCTGTCCTTCAACTGAAGAAGTTCCCTTTTCTGAGAGAGAGCATTTTTAACAAAAGTTTGACTAATTGTATTATATTAACTTGTGTAAAGATAGCTATGCTGCCCTGTCAGATTTTGAAACATCCTTTCCAAAGTCTGTAATGTAAGCTGCTTCTTGCCTGTTCCTTGCCTGTTAATTTGTGGAAACGGTTGTCGAATGTAAAACAAACAAAAAAGCCCTTTTTTCTAGAGAAATAACTAAATGCTATGGCAAAATGTCTCTTACGTTGTCCAAACTTTAGGTATGCAAATATATATTTATACACATAGGTACATTAAATCCAGAGGTGTAACTAACTACCAGCCTGAGACCTGGCCAGTGGCCAGCAGCATGGGCTGGGCTGAACTCGCTTCCCCCTCTAAGTGGGTTCCTGGGCCTGGAACACCGGTTGCTTACCCCTCATTATGTTAGTGATCAAACTCCTGAAGAGTTAATCACTTCATTGTAATCCTTAGAAAAGACACTTGTCTGCCAAGGAATTAATGTCAACAGACTTATATTATGAAGATAAGCATAAAGGAAAATGAAGGCCTAGAATGGACAGGCACAGAAGAGTCATAATACTTCTACTTGGACTGGTAAACTTCTTGAGTGAGCATATACACTCTTGTGTATTCTGTTCTCATAATTTACTAGAACAGACAGTAAGATAAAGGACACTTTTAGTTATATGTAATCAGTGGGGGGTACTATTTAACATTTTTGTAGAGCTTTCCAAATGCCTTCATTAACTGCTTTGCTATATGTATACAGCTTTTGGAATGATACACCTATGCTGTACCTTTGTGGGAAGGTTGACTATGCCAGTAGTTTTGGTAGAAGGTAGGGTAGATGCATACCGTACTGACTTCAGAGATTTAGGTTCAAGTCCCTATTCAAAATAGATTTCTTGTGTGATCTTGGGCACATTAGTTTCTTTGTGCCTCAATTCTCTCTTCATAAGATTGGGATAAGAGCATTTCTTACCTCACAGGAATATTATGAGGGTAAATACATTTAAATGATCATGAGATACTTGGATGCTTTGATAATGGGGGCTGTATAAATCCTTAAGATAGGCGTATAAATAGATTAATGAAAAAGCTTTTTCAGACATGCCAAAGATTATTTGAGTTGTTCATGCAGTCAGCAACCAGTATGAACCAGAGAAATGGATTTTCCCCAGTGGCCTATTTCCACTTATTTATCTTTTTTCTGCAGTTTGATAGTTTTGTATTTTTTGTATTTCAAAAAAATCTAAATGAACTTTTCAAGATCTTTTGTCTTTTCAAGAGAACCCCTCCCAGAAGGATGCAATAAGTAGGATTTTTTATTTAATATAACAGTCATTATTTTGTGCTGATGTCTCAAACACACACAACTCAGTTTATGCTTTTAGTTTCTGCCTTGTTAAAAAATAACATGATTACCTAATTATAGGCTGTATTGTAATACATACAGATATGGGGAGTACTGTATGGGCAGTCTTAATTTTGAGATTGAGTTTAAGATTGAGTTGCCTACTGGCCATAGCAGGGGATGGGACTACTTGTGGGTAAGGCATCTTTTAGGTATTTTTCCTTACAGAATGTTCAGGAAAAAAATGTATTTAGTAATTGCTGCTTTATTCCATGGGACATTTCATGAGGGGTTTTATCCTCTTTCTTCTTCTTTAATGTGTAAATAGGGCCTAAACAAAGATTAATGAATGAGGAGTCATGGGTTTCAGTACTTCCAACATGTTAATGATGTGTGGTTTTACCTTTCCATTTCATCTGAATTAAAGTATGTCTATATGGCACTGTGCAGTGCTGTGTAAACATTACCTGAATATATTGGTTCCTTTATATTTTTTTTGGCTCCGTTTGAGGAAAGGGTGAAAACTAAGGGCCAGGGTCCTATTCAACCTGTTAAGCATGTAAGTGGATTTAAGTATTGTATTTAAATTCAAGACAACCTTTAATTTAAGACAACTCCCCAATAATTAGATTCTATACATGGACAAGTTATACATTTGTTATAAATTTCCATGTGTAGAATCTAATTATTGGAGGGTCACTTTAAATTTGTGCACCCACTGCTGCAGCAGGGCAAATGACAGGGGAGCAGGCAGTAGGGAATCAAGTGGCCTGACCCCCACCCCTTGCTCCCTGTTGCCTGTCCTCTCCACCACTACCCCCTGTTGCCTGTTCTCTCACGCCTGCATACTCTAGTCCCTGCCCCCCTGTTGCTTGCATCCCCATGCTTGTATGCCCTAATCCATGCCCCCCACCGACCACTATTTCTCTACTATTTCTCCTCTGCTGCCTGCCCCTTCCCATGGTGCCTGCACCCCCTAGTACTTGCTTCATTTGCCACCTGCCTTGTGCCTATGCCTCCCCCTGTGGTGCCTATCCCCTCAACACCTGCCCCCCCAGTTGCCTCCCTGGCACTTACCCACTTCACAGTGGTTGTGATGGTGGTAGCTCAGGCCCCAGTGCTAGAGCTGGAGCCAGTGCTGCTGCTGTCACTGCTCCACAGCTGGGTGGGGGCTGGAGTGACTATGTGCTCTTTGCCCTGGGCTAGAATGAGTGCTGTGATGGAGGGTAAATGGTGGCAGAGTGGGGGGCAGGTGGCAGGGGAAGGGGAAGCCCTCCAACTCCAACCCCAAGCCTGGGTCCTGGCCAGAGTCAGAGTTTTACCAGCCACCTGTCTTCCTCCTTGTACTCAAATCCAAGATGAGGGTCCTGCCCCCCCCATCATGTTAAATGAGGAAAATCCCTCTCTTGGATTCCAGTAAATATGGTGTATAAGCCTGGTCTTGTTCCATTTTGTTCTAGTTCCTGAACATCCATTAACATAAAAGGTGGATAGATCTTCCTCTTTCTTGATATATTTTGTGACTTAAAGCTAACAGAATGCGTTACAAAAGGAGATGTGCTAATGATTTTTCAGGGACTTGAGCAGGGTAGAATAGAATTGCACTTAGATACTTAAGTTCACTCAGGTGCCTAATAGGTGGAATAGGATCTGGCCTTAACTGGCTGAGACCTAGTCCCAATAAAATTGGAGTGGAGGATCCTTATTTGGAGACTGCAAGGATAATAACTTTCCTTATGTTTGAGTATTTCTGTGTACCATTATTACCTCAGATTTGTTTATAGTGGTCAGGTTCACCAGCAGAACAAGGATATTGAAAAGGTGGATTGGAAAGCAAGGTCAAGCAGGGCACGGTACTGCTGCAGGGGCAGGGGTTGCTACCAAAACAGAAATTAACCCTGCCCTGGCTCTGTGCCGCTGGTGTTGCTACCAAAAAACAAATTAACCCTGCCCTGGCTCTGTGCCGCTGCAGTTTTATATATCAAGTGAAGATCAAAAGCCCTACATTTTGACAGCTGTTGCTGAACCAGCGAAGGGTTAACATGGCTTTTGCTGGCAATACCTCCTCTTGCAGCAGTGTCCTCCTGGTCCTGCTCCACTTTGCCACTAGGAGGAGGAATTGAAGTGGGGTGCGACTGCACCTTCCTAAATCTATCCCGGTCTAGTTATACTCCCCAACTGATACTAAAAATATTAGGAAGTGGCAAACCGAAGTACTGTGAGGAGAGCATAGATGTTTATAGTGAAGAAGGATATAGCTAATGTTTCTTTCCATTGTAGGCTGTCTGACTGTTTTCCATGCCAGCACTCCAAAACTAACCCTAAAGGAAACAGGTGCTATTTAGAAGTGCTTCAAAATGCAATGCTTTCTTTTACAGATGCTTGACAGGGGACCCCTGTGTCCTCCAGGAAGTCCACAGGGCTCCACTTTCCTCCACCTCCCTGCACTGGGAGAGAGGAATGTGATGTTGGTGAGTTTTCTCCTGTCCACTTTGTTTCTGCTCTCCTGGGGTATCTTCCCACCCTTCCACTCTCCTGGAACTGACAGACTGGAGGCCCGGTGATCCCCTTACCCCACACCAGAACCAGGATTCCTGCTCTCCAGTCCCTTATTCCTACATACATCTCTGCATTCAGTCTTCTGGTTCTGCTGGGGCGTGGAGGAGGCATGGGGCTTTCAGTCTCTTGGTTCTGGCAGAAGGGCACTGCAGGAGAGTGTGTGTGGAGTGGACAGGAGAGTGCTCACTGACACCAGGTGCCCTCCCTCCCACCTCTCCTTTGAGGAAGAATGGAGTTGCAGGCCCTGGAAGACTGGGGACTGACACTGTCCTCCAACTTCCACATGGCCCTCCCTTTCATGTTTGGGGGATGGAGGGGGGGGGAATGAAGAGAGTTGCAGGTTGCCAGTCTTCTATCATGTCCCCCAACTGCAGCCCCAATTT